AGGGGTTAGGGACCTGTTCCTAACACTAGAGGGCTGGCCCTCTAATGGGGCTGGCCCTAAGACACTGCCCCCTAAGACCCCCTAACACAGGGGGAGATATTTATTTAGGGAGAAAATGTGGAGGGGGAGAGAATTTATTAATAAAAGAATCTTTAACTTTAAATGGTTTGGAGAGTGGCATGATCCCAGCCTGACTTCCCAGAGCTGGAGGGGAGGAGTGAGTCACCGCGGAGGTGGGGGCGAGGCTCTGACTCACACATTCTCAATGCCTGAGCCCAGCCTGCCAGGACCTGGCCAGCCGAGACCGTTTTCCAGGGAAGTGCTTGAGGAGAAATCCGGCATCCAGCACCCCTCCCTGCCCTCCCTTCCCCAAAGAGCCTGGGTTCCAGATTGAAGCTTTCATTCACTCAGCAGTCTTTATTCAGTTCTTGGCAGGGAGGGGATGGCCTCCTTTCCCATGTCCCTGCCCCTTCCACCTCAGGGCTCTGTGTGTGAGGGGAGGTCCTGGTGCCCAGAGGCCTGGTCTGGAGGAAAAGCAGGGTAGGTGGTCCCTTCGTGGGAGTGCTGCTCTCCCTTGTTGAGGGGAAAGAAGGAAGTGGGGGGGAGGCAGGGGCACTGCTCCCCAGATCTCAGAGCTCCATCATGTCCCCAGCTGGGGTTGCAGGGTAGTGGGGGGTGGGAGTGTCCCCCAGCCTCAGCAGCCGGAGAGCCTCGGGGATCAGGTTCCCAGGGTAGCGCCAGAGAAGCAGCTCAGAGCAAGGGCTTCTGGAAGAGGAAATAACAGGGCACAGGGGCAGAGGCTGGCCTGGCAGAGCCACGCCCCACCTGGTCCAGGTCCCCAGGGGCTCCTGGACTGCTGGCACCTTCCACGGAGCCAAGTAGGGAAACAACAGAGGTTGGCTAGAAGCTAAAAATAGCAGAGTGAGGCAGAGCCTGGAAATGGGCTCCCAGGACTGGGTATGATCCTCTGGAAGGCCCAGCCGGTGGACTGTGGATGGTGCCTACCTGAGTGGGGGCAGAGCTGGGGGGAACGCCCTGGGGGGGCTGCAGTAAGGGTGGTCATTGTGCAGGCTGAGTCGAGAGAAGTGGGTGGCCATGTTCTCCTCGGATAGGAACTGCTTGCGCAGGGGCTCCCTGGGGAGAGACGGGGAGGCAGGCAGGCTGGGATATTCAGAGGAGAGGTAGCCTGATGGGGACCTGAGGTGACGGAGGACTTGGTGGGAGTCCCTCCCTGCCCCCAAACTCACTGCTCCTCCTCCAGGCGCCGCTTGGTGCTCATGGGCACAGCTCCTCGGAGAGGGGAGCTGGGAAGAAAAGAGAGCTAGGAGCACCCCACCCTCTTGGCGCCATCCCCAGGATCTGCCCGCCTGAGCTTGCAGCGTCAGCCAGCAGCCCCCCGGCCCATGCCTGTCACTGACGTCTAAGTCACCCTCTCTCCCAGACCATCCAGGAGCCTGCCTCGGAGGTCTTCCCCAGTCTCCAATCTTGTCTCAGCTTATGCCCAAGCCCTGCCGATAAGCCCCATCGCGTGTCATCCTGCAGACCTGCTCTGAGGCCCCAGCCAAAGCTCCTGGGACCCTGGGCCGGGCCCACCCAGGGCCCCCCCCCCCACACACCTCGCGTCCAGGCCTCCAGAAGCCCCCGAGGCGGCCCGCGGGTCGCGCTGGGCCTGACCCCGGGGGCCTCGCTCCAGGGGTTGCTGTAGGATCATTGGGGTTCGGGGTCCTGCGGACAGAGGGGTGGGATCCGGGCGGCAGGGGCGGAGCCTTTGAGGGCGTGACCCAGCGCGTGGGGCGTGGCTTTAGGTGCGCGCGCGGCCAGGTTCCGCGCAGGCGCGGAGGACGGGCCGCACGCGGCTGGCAGGCGGGTCTGCTCAGCGGGGTGGGGGAGGGGACCCGGCTTAGCGGGGTCGCGGTGGGCGCCACTTGGTGTTGGGGTGTCTTTTCGGTGGTCACCTCTGCTCCTGGGACTCGGGTTACGCGGTGGCCGCCTTCACTCCGGGCCGGCCAACGGTATCGGGGAGGTGAGCAACCGCGAAGGGGAGGTGCCCACTGGCACTTCCGGACTCGTGAGGCTGCGTTGCGCGCGGAGCACTCTGGGACTGTTAGTTTTCGAGATGGAACGAGCGGCGCAGCAAGCAGTGCCTCTGGGTCAGGTGAGGGGGGCGATGCGCAGTGCCTTCTGTGATTTGTAGTCCACGTGTGGCTCCGAAGGGGCAAGGCAGGGAGTCCTGCCCTGAGCCCTGTTTTGCGTGGGCTCTTGGTGGGACTCGGATTCCTACCCGGGGGAGGGAGGATAATCCAGAAATACCTCCGGGGCCTAACGTGAAAGTCACAGGATACGGATCAGGGGTCAGTACGTTTTTCTGTATTGGAGTAATAGAGCAGTTTTTTAAGCGGTTTCTGAGCGAAGACAGAAACTGCGACTCTATGTACAGTAGCTCATCCAATCATGACAAAATCTCCCATGAGCTCCATTTGACAGTTAAGGAAACCCGGAGGAGAGGCTGAGTCTTTGCTCAGATTTCCACTAGGCATCATGCCTCAACTCTCCCCTTTCTCACCTCCCTGGAGCCGCTCCTGGGACTTATACGGGCAAGGCCCACTTGGTGGGCTGTCTCAAAGGAGAACTGGGTGGTGGGAGGCAGGACTGCTGCAGGGGAAGTAGGAAGGAGTGTGTGTATCAGAGGCCCCTGATGCCCCAGCCTGCCTTCATCCAGCCTCTCTCCACAGATGGAAGTGTTTCAGGCCCTGCAGCGGCTGCACATGACCATATTCTCCCAGAGCGTCTCACCCTGTGGCAAGTTCCTGGCAGCTGGCAACAATTATGGACAGATAGCTATCTTTAGGTACTCTTGCCCCTGCTCCCCACTGTCCATGAGCTCTGGCACTTGGCTCCCTGGGGGACTAATGCCCCCTTCTTCTGACACTCAGGCCCCTCTCCCCTTGCCCTTCAGCTTGTCTGCTGCTTTGAGCTCCGAGGCCAAAGAGGAAAGTAAGAAGCCCATGGTGACCTTCCAAGGTGGGTGCAGGCATTGAGTCTGGCTTGGGGAACCCCAGGGTGGATGACAGGAGCAGGATGAGGTCACTCAGGTTCTGTGCTTCCATTTAGCCCATGACGGGCCCGTCTACAGCATGGTCTCCACTGATAGACATCTGCTGAGTGCTGGGGATGGGGAGGTGAAGGCCTGGCTTTGGGCAGAGATCCTTAAGAAGGTGAGTGTGAAGCTGGGGGAAGGGTGAGGTACCCAGACCCAGAGAGAGCTTTTGAGGTCACCCAGTGCATGGGGTCAGAGAGTCGGACATGATTCAGCAATTGTACAACAAGCGTTTCTCTCCACGAAGGGCTGTAAGGAGCTGTGGCGTCGTCAGCCCCCATACAGGTGAGCCAGGCCCTGTGAGCAGAGGGCACCTGGGGCTGAAGGTGTCACCACACCAGAGTTGACTCTGCTTTCCTTCCCCCAGGACCAGCCTGGAAGTACCTGAGATCAATGCTCTGCTTCTCGTGCCCAAGGTTTGAGCCCTTCGTAAATTCGGGGCTCTTCCCTGTCCTGTTTTTGGCCCAGATTTTGATCCTTCCCCTCTCCCTGGCCTGACTTGACCCTGACTTCTGACTCCATCCCGCCTTCCTCTGCAGGAGAATTTGCTCATCCTGGCGGGGGGGGACTGTCAGCTGCATGCAATGGACCTTGAGACAGGGACCTTCATGGTGAGAAAGCAGGGCCGGGGGAGCGGGAGCAACTGCGTTCCTCCTGGGTCTTGTCCTGACACTGCCCCTCTCCCTGCAGTGGGCCCTCCGGGGCCACACGGACTACATCCACTGCTTGGCACTGCGGGAGCGGAGCCCCGAGGTGCTGTCGGGCGGTGAGGATGGGGCCGTGCGGCTTTGGGGTAAGGGAGTGTCGCATTGGAGGGAAGGCTGGTGGTGAGGGAGGCTGGGAAGAGGAGGGTACCTCTCGCAGTTCTTCCTCCGCAGACCTGCGCACGGCCAAGGAGGTCCAGACGATTGAAGTCTACAAGCACGAGGTGAGGGCACACCCAACGCTCTGTCCTCCCTTCTTCCTTCCTGGGCATCTCCGATGTCTTCACCTCCTGCTCTGTGCTCCTCCCTCCCAGGAGTGCTCGAGGCCCCACAACGGGCGCTGGATCGGATGTTTGGCAACTGACTCGGACTGGATGGTGAGCCAGGCAGCGTGCAGGCTGGGGTGGCAACTCAGGCCCTGTCTGGCTGAGGGCCCGTGGCTCACGGTAACTGGGGACCCCCACCTTTCTGCCCAGGTCTGCGGAGGAGGCCCAGCACTCACTCTCTGGCACCTCCGATCCTCCACACCCACCACCATCTTCCCCATGCGGGCGCCACAGAAACATGTCACCTTCTACCAGGACCTGGTGAGGCCCTCTGTCTTGTTTCTGCCACCCCTGCCCCACTGTCCCTCCAGCCCTGAACTCTGAGCCCCCTCCCTGTCTTCCACAGATTCTATCAGCTGGACAAGGCCGTTGTGTCAACCAGTGGCAGCTGAGCGGGGAGCTCAAGGCCCAGGTGCCTGGCTCCTCCCCGGGACTGCTAAGCCTCAGCCTCAACCAGCAACCAGCAGCCCCTGAGTGCAAGGTGGGTCCGGCCAGGGGTGGCAGGGACCCTGGGAGGCCAGGGCGAGGGGGCAGGTCAGTCACTCTCCTGTTGTTTCTAGGTCCTGACAGCCGCGGGCAACAGCTGCAGGGTGGATGTCTTCACTAATCTGGGCTACCGAGCTTTCTCTCTATCCTTCTGACCTCCAACAGTGTCTCCACCTCCATCCCAGGGGTTCACAGTGTTTTCTTCTCTTTTTTTAGTCTTCTTTTTTTTATACAAATAAAATGAGTGCCTTTTTGTTTTTTTAATGTCCTTTCTTCCCAAGAATGGAGGCCAGGTCGGTGTAATGATTTATATATTACTCTGTCTGATCTTGATACATAAATACCCATCCCCATCCCCGACCCGCGGCTGAGGGCCAGGGGGCTTAATGCCTAGAAAAGATAGATTTATATAAATTTGATAAACAGCTCTGCCACACATGCCCCTGCCACCCATCTGGGGTCTCTGGCCCCCAAAGCTGGCCCCTGCTCCCAGTGAGCCCTTGCCCAGCCTCCAAGGGAGGGGAAGGGCACCAGCCGCCTTTGGCAGACAATCGGGACCCATCGCTCCATTGGCCAGAAGAGGAAAGTGAGTCAAGAGGGCAAAGCCAGTCCTGCCTCTTCCAGGTGCTCAGGTCCTTCGGAAGAGGGTGCTGAAGAAGCTGCCGGCGGGCCCGGGGCTCAGGCGCAGGGAGAAGCGCGTTGGGGCGGGGCGCGGGGCGGAGGCGGCCGCACTCAGCTCTTGTTGGCGTTGCGAGCGCAGCTGCTGACCGATGACCACCTGCATGTCGTCCTGTGGGTGGGCAGGCGGGGCGGGTCGGCGTCCGGCTCCGCCCCGCCCCCGCCGGCTCCTCCCCATCGGCCCCGTGCTCCCCGCCCCTCACCTGCCAAGCCTCCAGCTCTTGCGTCAGCGCCACCTTCTGGTGGATGGTGCGAAGCAGCTCCCGGGAGAGGGAGTCCCGCTCCAGAGAAACGCGGCTGAGCTCCAGGGACAATTCCAGGACCCTGCAGACGAGGGGCAAAGAGCAGGTCCGAGGACGCCGGGGCTTCAGCGTGCAGGGGTGGTGGGGGGCTCCTGGACCCAGGCGGGAGTGAGACCACTAATACGAAACCAGGGAAGTCAGAGGGCCCCCGGATCAGAGTGGGGTTCCGAGGCCCAGAAAGGCCAGTGTGTCCTGGGTGCCTGAGCCGGCCCCCGTCTCCGAGCGGTGGTGAATGGTTGCAGATGCTTACTTTTTCACGGCCTCGTCTCGGTCCGAGAGGGCGCTGCTTAAGGCCTCCTCGGGGTCCTGCACCCGCAGTTCCTTCTGCCTTTGCAGTTCCTCCCGCAGGGACTGTAGCTCTGCCTGCTGCAGCGCCATCTGCGGGCAGGGTAAAGTCCAGAGAGGCAGTTAGGCCCCTGGGTGTCCCAGCGCTTGCTCTTCCAGGCAGTCCAAACTCTAGTTCGCTGCCTTCCCACCTCCCATCTCCACCTGCTCCACAAACAACCCTGACAGCTAATGGTCCTGTGCTGGAGATGAATCTTATGAGTGCCTAGCAGGGTGGGGTGGGGTGGGGTGGGTCAGGGTTAGATGGATGGTCTAAGCCTGCAGGAAGGATGCATGGAGGAGATGGGACTTAAGGGGGCAGGGGGTGTAGTTCAGGAAGTCTTCCTGGAGGAGGTGACATACAGACTGGCTGTTGAAACTTGATGGCAAGTTTGTTGGGATGAAGTGGTATCCAAGTAGAGAAATTCATGGGCAAAGGCTTGGAGGTGTAGATGGGAAAGAGAAACTGACATTGAGAGGGGCTTTGCATCCAATACTATGCTCCTCCCACCTCAACCTGTAACCGGACCACATCCTCCTCCTCTTCTCCCAGTATCTCCTCTGGGCTCAGGGATGCTCCCTTCCTGGGAGGCTCCAACCTCTCCTGGGGCGAACGCTGCTGGCTGGACACTTCTTGGGTCTCCGGGGATAGAGTGGTCTGTCCACCAAAGAAATCGATCAGGGCAGTGTCAAACCTTGTAGGGATAAAAAATGAGGGGCGGAGTCTGCAGCCCTCCGGGATGGTGAGTGTGGAGCTTGGTGGGCCGAAAGCTCACCAGAGGATCTCCGCTTCTGTCCGTGTTCTGGTTTTGGTCCTGGTCGCTGTCTAGGCTGTGGGCGAGCTCTAACTGCAGCGAGGCTCCCGAGAGGTCGGCGTCCTGGAGGCGCGACTCCTCCTCCAGCTCCGAGACGCGCCGCTGCAGCCTTCGCAGCGCGCTCAGCGCCTCCTCAGTCTCGGAGCGCGCGCGTTCCAGCTGCGGCCGAAACCGTGAGCATCAGCCAGATGCCCCCGCCGCCAGCAGACAGGGGGCGCCAGCGCGCCACGGGAGTCAGGCATCCCCATGCGTCCGCCCCGCCCAGCACCGAGGTCGGCTCCCGCTCCCCGGCCGTGGGACCCGCAGTCCCCCTCGGCAGATGCCACTTGCCTCACCTATAGAGCAGGGTCCCGATGAGCGCCCAGACTTCAAAGTCTCCCATCACCCTCCCTCCAGTCCTGCCCCATCCGGTCACCTGGAAAAGCCCTGCCCCCCCCTTACCTGGCCAGCCTACCTTCTTACTAAAGCCGTCACCCGGCCCTGACTGATCATTTCGTCTCAGCCAGGCGACCTGCTGAACGTCTCACACCCTTCCCACAGCCATGTAGCATTACCACCCATCTCACAGATGGGGAAACTGAGGCTGGTGTCCCACAATAGTAGGAAGGGACCCTGGGATAAGAACCCAGGTAATCTGACCCCAAAGCAAGCACAAGCTCCTACGATCTCAAACATCAAGTCATACTGCCTCCTTCCATTTCCTTTCCTCTGTTTTCACACCCAGACCTGGTCCAGATCCCCTCGCCTCCAACAGTGAGCTCTCGCCTCAGCCCCATCCCTGGCCTCCAGCTACTGGTCTCTGGTGCATCCTAGAACCACCAACCCCGCTCAGCCTCTCTGGGGCTCCCACTTGCCCTTGTGCTAATGCCTTTGCCCTTCTGGCCGGGCTGCTAGGACTCTCGGTGACCCTACTCTAGGGTCTTCTCCCAGGAGGCCCTGAGGCAGTGGCCCAGGCCCCCAGCCTGACGTGCCCACCCACCCCAGCCCTGCCAGTCACCTCCAGACCGTGCTCCCGCCTCTCCCGCCGCAGCAGCAGCAGCTCCTCATGGGTGGCCTGCAGCCTTCCCCGTCCCTTCTCCAGCTCCTCACGCAAACCTCGAATCTGGGCCTCCAGGTCCTGCCGGCGACTCTGGAGCATCTGATTCTGGGGAAAAGCCCATCAGAGCCAAGAGTGGAGGGCGAGGCTGCGCCCAGACAGCCCCCAGGCCAGCCCTCCCCACTCAACAGACCCCCAGCCCCAACCGGCACTCACCTCCCCCTGCAGACTCTCCAGCCGCGTCCTCAGCTCTGCCCCAGCCAGGGCCTGAGCCTGGCACTGCCCTTGAAGGCTGTCCAGTTCCCGCTGAAGCTCCTGCTCAGTCTGTGAGGCCTGGGGATGGGGTTGGGGGTCAACAGAGCCCTCAGCTGGCCCACGCTGCAACAGGCCCAGCACGCCCACCCCCAGACGTCTGCCCCTCCTTGCCAGGGGACCCAGGGTCAGGGCCGTCCGGCCTGGACCAGCACGATCACACCCACCAGGACTGGGCCCAGCACGCCCACCCCCACCAGGACCGGGTGTCCTCTCCTTCCTTGCCAAGGACCCCGGGGTCAGGGTCATCCCACCTGGGCCAGCTGCTGGCTGAGCCGGAGGTTCTGTTCGCCGAGTTCACTGAGGGCCCGAGCCCGCTCCCGGCCGCTGTCCTGCTGCTCAGAACGCTGCTCTCCGAGCTGGGCCCTAAGGGCCTCCACGTCCCTCTCCAGTTCCACTGCCCTGGCCTCCCACTCGGCTCCCCGGGCTGCCAGGCCCCGGCGCAGTTCATGGTTCTCCTGCTGCAGCTGCTGTGGGGCCGGGACAGAGGGGACAGTGAGACTGGAGGGGACACAGAGCGACAGCCAGAGACCTGAGCGGGGTCCGAGGGGTTCTGAGGCAGGCCTGAGAGCCAGAAAGAGGACAGAGCTGGGTGGGGAGTGGGCAGAGGGGGCAAGACGCAGCCTCGGACAGTAGAGGAGGCAGAGGAGCCGTCGAGAGGTTTCTGGAGGGGCTGACCCTGGGCCTGAGCTGGGCAAGGCTCCCCGGTGCCCACTCACCTCTGGCTGCCTCCGGAGCTTCTGGGCCCGAGGTTGCAGGCGCCGTTTTTGGCGCCTGAGTCTGGCAGAATTGAAGCCCCGGCCCATGGCCTCACACAGCTGTGTGCTCTGGAGATTCCGCCTCTGCTCAACCCCTCTCCCCCAGCTCCTCCGGGCCAGCTCCCTCTAATTAACCCTGGGCAGCCTCACCCCAGCCCCACGCCTCTGCCCGTCCTCCCCCAGAACCTGTCTAACCAGTGGGGGGACGCTCCTGGCACACCCAGAGGACCAGCTTGGGAAGGCGGGCAAGTCAGGGGCCAGCATCTGCCCCGTCACCCCTCTGTAGACTTCCATGCAGGACGGTGATGCTAACCATAGCTGCTACGATAATTAGCAAGCCCTCCTGCTAGGGCTTCACCTATATTGTTGTATTTAGTCCATGGGAATTAGAATCCTTTGGTTGCTGTTTAGTCACCAAGTCGTGTCCGACCCTTGCAACCCCACAGACTGTAGCCCGCCAGGCTCCTCTCTCCATGGAATTTCCCAAACGAGAATACTGGAGCGGTTGTCATTTCATTCCCCAGGCGATCTTCCTGACCCAGGCATTGAACTCGCATGTCCTGCATTGGCAGGTGGATTCTTTACCGCTGAGCCACCAGGGAAGCCTTTAAAATCCTTAACATCTTCATTTTACAGATTAGGAAACTGGGCCTCAGAGAGGTGCCTTGCCCAGGGACACACAGTGAGTTACTAGAGCAGGGATTCTAACCCAGACAGCCAAATCCTTAATCAAATACTGGGGGGGGGGGGGGGGTACAACACAGCTCGAGGATTAAGCCCACCAGTCTGGGGTCCTGTTGTCCTATTTTTCTGGCCAATGCCCAGCTCTGCTTCTGCTTTGTGGTCAGGCAAGCTCCCTAACACCTCCAAGTCCCATCCATCCATCTATTCATCCATCCAGTATTTCCTGAGCTTGCCCCATTTTGGGGTCTGGCTATCAGCAGTAAGTGAGACCACCAAATTCACTGCCTGAAACAGCTTCGAGTCCAGAGGCAAATGAACACATTTGAACCAGGTAGTTTTGGAGAGGGGCACATTTAGGGCTGTAAAGAAACCCTGGGAAGTGATGAAGAGGAATGAGGTGCAGTGGGGGCTCCTTCAGGAGGAAGTGGTGTCTAAGTTGACTCCTGCAGGGCAAGAAGGAAGAGGGCTACACCAAGGAACAGCAGGTGCAAAGGCCCTGAGGCAATAAGTGTGGGTTACTCAGGGAACTGAAAAAAGGCCCCCTCAGAGGAGGGGCCACGTGGCTGAGATGAGGGCAGGGGGGGTCACTTAGGATGTTTAGGCCCTGGTGAGAACTTTTGGTTTCATTCTAAATGAGGGGGAGCCATTGGGAGATTCTGGGCAAAGGCCGAAATGATCTGATTTGCAATTTTTGAAAATCCCTTTGGCTACCCCGTGGAGAAGGAGCTCAAGGGGCAAGGAGGAAGCTGGGGACCAGTGAGGAGGCAGCTGCTGTGTCTGGAGCAGAGATGATGGCCCTGCGGCCAGCTTGGGGAGATGAGAAGTGAGTAGACTCGGTGTCTAGTTTTAAAGAAGAATCAACAGGACTTGCCAGTGTGGGAGGAGAGAGGTAGCGGAGATGCTCAGGCTGGGGCCCTGTGGTGGGAAGCTGGGAGAGGACAGCAGGTGATGGGATCACGGAATCCAGTGCCACTTATGTTGAGATGCCCATTAGGTGGCCAAATGGAGAGGGTGTGGGGCCGACAACATGGATACAGGAGTCAGTGGTGTCCTGGGTGTGTAGGGGGGCCAGATGTGATGCCCAGGGTGAGGGTGACCACAGCATGGGCAGAGGGAACCATGCGCATCTCCCAGAGCTGAGTGAGAATGGATGAAGATCATGTGTGGAAAGCGCTTAGGCCAAAACGGAACAG